TGTGTGTGTGTGTGTGTGTGTGTGTGTGTGTGTGTGTGTGTCTGTGTGTGTGTGTGTGTGTGTGTGTGTGTGAGAGAGAGAGAGACAAACAAACACGCATGCATGAAGAGATGCTCGAACAAGCGCAACATTCTCCATCGCCTCTAAAACACTTCATGACCTCTGAGAAGCGGATAAAAATACCGGCCAGACGAGAGCTCCTGCAGGTTAAATGTGTTTGATTCTAATCTAGTTAAGTCAGAACAGCGAGACGCACGAGGATAATAGTGTTAGGAGGTTCAGATTCACATGTCTGATGCTCTGAGCTGCTGAAAGGAGCCTTCTGGAATGTCATGAACAGTAACAAAAACTGTGCTAAATATTAATAATAAAATACCAGTTTGGGGTCCATATGATTTATTTATTTATTTTTTAAAGAAACTATTACTTTTATTCAGCAAGGACGCATTAAATTGATCAAAAGTGCCAGTAAAGACATTCATAATGTAACAAAAGATTTCTATTTCAAATAAACGCTGTTCTTCTGAACTTTCTGTTCATCTGTGAATCCTGAAAAATAAAATGCATCACAGTTTCCACAAAAATATTGTGCAGCACGACAATGTTTCCAACATTGATAATAATCAGAAATGTTTCTCGAGCAGCAGATCAGCATATTATACTGATTTCTGAAGATCACGTGACACTGAAGACTGGAGGAATGATGCTGAAAATACAGCTGCGCATCACAGACATACATTACAGCTTAACAGATATTCACACAGAAAATATCGATTTTGAATCCTAATAATATTTCACAATTTTTACTGTATTTTTGAACAAATAAATGCACCCCTGGTGAGCAGGAGAGACTTCTTTTAAAAACATTACAAATCCTAGCGACCCCAAAGCACTAGTGAACACTACGCAGATGTTATTGCGAGGATGGTTGAGCTGAAATGTTGAAGAGGAATGAATATGATGACGTGAGAGAGAAAGCAGCAGAGAGAGAGACTGATGGAAGGGAAGATGATGAGAGACGTTAAAGAGCCGCTGACACAGTCCTCAGAGCCGGAGAAACTGGTCTGAAAGAGGAGATCTGATGTTTATTATGTGAAGGAGACAGCGGTGAGAGAGACGGATCACGTGAAGCCCGGAGAAACACTGCAAACCAGATGAACATGGGTGCGGTTCAGACGGACAAACAAACCAGAGCAAGTTATTTAAATACACGACAGGACAAACTAAGGTCTCTAATGTCCTCAGTTAACCAGTTTCCTCAGAAAGAGCAGGCTGGATGACTAGTCTCATGCAATCGAGTTTAGCTGTTGAGCAGGAGGACTATGACCAGCACAGGACTGTTAACTAAAACTACAACTATTAAAAACATTGAAATAAAGCTGAAATAAAATACAAATAAAATATTGTTTTCTAAGCAACCAACTGAAATACATTTAAATAAAAAAAGAAACATATATATTTTAAAACAGCAAGAACTAGTAAACTGACAAAGAAATACACGGCTTAAAATAAAAATAAAAATGAATATAAAATATTGATAAAACAGAAATAAATTCAAAATATTAATAAAAATTATTCAATAAATGAATTCAAATGAATTCAAAATATGACATACATAATAATAAAGTTTTATACAAAATTAATAATAATTTAGCTATATATATATATATATATATATTGAATGATTTGTTCCCGAAAGACAAGTACCGAAAACTTAAAATAAATACACACACACCCACACACACACACACACACACACACACACACACACACACACACACACACATATATATATATATATATATACAGTCATGTGAAAATATTAGGACACCCTATTGAATTCCATGGCTTTCTGTATCAGGACATAATAGAAACATATCTGGTTCTTGTCAGGTCTTAAAATTGGGAAAATAAAACCTCAGATGAATAACAACACATGACATATCACGTCGTGTCATTATTTATTTAACAAAAATAAAGCTAAGATGGAAAAGCCATGTGTGACAAAGTTAGGACACCCTATGACTCAATCGCCTGTAGATCCACTTTTAGCAGCAATAACTTGAATTAATACATTTCTGTATGACTTTATCAGTCTCTCACATCATTCTGGAGGAATTTTGGCCCGCTCTTGTGAAACACTGATTGTATTACATGAGGCATGAGATGTTCATTCATGTTTATTTCTCGTTAAAACTAGAAGATGAAGGGATGATGGTGCTCCGCACTGCTGTCAGAACTGAAGCGTTTACACAGCGATCTGTCGCGCCTCATCAAAGAGCGCCAAAACACCATTTATTGTCTGATTATCTCATAATTGTGACCCTGGAAGTCGCTGGGGGATATTTGTAGCAATAGCCAACAATACATTGTATGGGTCACAATTATAGATGTTTCTTTTATGCCAAAAATCATTAGGATATTAAGTAAAGATCATGTTCCATGAAGATATTTTGTAAATCTCCTACCGTAAATATATAAAAACTTAATGTTTGATTAGTAATATGCATTGCTAAGAACTTCATTTGAACAACTTTAAAGATGATTTTCTCAATATTTAGATTTTGTTGCACCCTCAGATTCCAGATTTTCAAATATTGTGCTATCCTAACAAACCATACATCAATGGAAAGATTATTTATTCCGCTTTCAGATGATGCATAAATCTAAATTTTGAAAAATTGATCCTTATGACTGGTTTTGTGCTCCAGGGTCACAATTTGATTTTGAGACTTAGCCTGGACTTCACAGACAGGGTCACATTTACGTACCGAACCGAAAGACCCGTACTGAAAATTTCAGTATGGATACGTGTACCGTTACACCCCGACTGATCAACATAAACCAGCATGGAAAAAACTAGTCAACACGAAATGCAATTTGCGGTCTGTTTTAGTAACATGATGTGCTTGATTCAGAGTGAATCTGTAGTGTGGAACTGAGACTGAGGCATTTCAATGAAAGATTATGAAGACAAACAGGAATCTCTGCTCTTACCGAGTAGTGTCTCTTTCGGGTTTTGTCCACACATTTCCCCTGCAGACAGATCCGGCCCTTCCCACACGGCGTTCCCTCCACGGCTGGAAGCTTCTTGGTCAGACACACCATCTGTCCCTTCCTGATGACGGCGCACCACAGACGCGCGCACACGTCCATCCCGGGACACACGGTGTACTCCGGCCCGAAGGCCAGGCGGCACTGCTGGACCGCATCGTATCTCTGACCCGGCAGCTCCTCCGGACCCAAGAGAGGCAGACGAGGAGCGTCCAGCAGACACTCCGCTGCACACACAGCAACATTACAGCTACAGCACTGCTCACCAGTAAAACACTGTCTTCTGCTCACCAAGGCTAAAATAAGATAACTGTTTTCTATGTGAATATCTGTTAAACTGTAATTTATTTCTGTGATCAAAGCTTTTCAGCATCAATGGAGAGCTTATTTATTCAGCTTTCAGATGATGCATAAATCTCAATTTAAAAAAATTTACCCTTATGACTGGTTTTGTGCCCCAAGATCACAAATGTATTTTAAAAAAATGAAAATAAAATGAATACATTTTTTTTATATAAGAATAAAAATGACCAAAGCACATAACAAAATGACTAACAATTAAAAATAAATATAATGTAATATAATGCAATAAAATGCTATTAAAATAAAATACAAATAACAAAAATAAAATAAAATATTAATAAAATATTAACGATTCCAAAAATGAATAATACAATAAAATATAAAATAAAATGTAATAAAATATTAATAAAAACTATAGTATAACTGAAACTGAAATAAAACTAAAATTAAAATGAAAAACAAAGATTTTTAATAAATTTGAAAATATTACAAAAAACTGAAATACATTTAAAATATTAATGCAAACTACAATAATATGTAAATTGCAACCCATTTGACTAATTGAATGTGCCATGATTTCCACATAAACAAGTAGTATCAGTATCATAAAACAGATCCATGAAATCTCAGATCTGATCAGATTAATAATAGCCTTATATCCTTCTGATTCTGATTCTAACCATACAAAATGTGTCACAGTTTTTGAGAATGCAACATCAAAATCAGTCATTTTGAGCTGCAATGGTCTGAATTAAAAACCTGCTTGAGTTCATGTGTCAGCATGACTGTTTCTCACCGTTTCCGTCGTCGAAGAAGTCAGTGATGGTGGCAGAGGTGCAGCGGCTCCAGGGTTTGGACGCGTCGATGGAGGTCAGGATGGACGACATCAGCCGCTTGTCTTCACTGGAGCCAAATCGCTCCTCACAGAACTTAGAGTCGTCATGGGACAGACCCAGCAGGTGCCCTGAGACACACACACACACACACACACAGGAAGTGATGTCATTAGCATGTGTGAGAGCGCACGTGTGTGTGTGTGAGAGTGTGTGTGTGTGTGTGTGTGTGTGTTTGTGTGTGTGTGTGTGTGTGAGAGAGAGTGTGTATGAGTGTGTGTGTGAGTGTGTGTGTGTGTGTGTGTTTGTGTGTATGAGTGTGTGTGTGTGTGTTTTTGTTTGTGTGTGTATGAGTGTGTGTGTGAGTGTGAGAGAGTGTGTGTATGAGTGTGTGTGTGTGTGTGTTTGTGTGTGTATGAGTGTGTGTGTGAGTGTGAGAGAGTGTGTGTGTTTGTATGTATGTGTGTTTGTGTGTGTGTGTGTGTGTGAGAGAGTTGTGTGCGTTTTTGTGACAAATGAGGACATAAATGTGTATAATGACAAAGGTATGACAGGTATTACAAGGAGAAGGTGACTTTTCAGGACATTACTCCATGTCCCCACTTTTCAAAACGCTTATAAATCACACAGAATGGAGTGTATTGAAAATCTGAAATAGCAGAAAGTCTCCTGTGAGGGGTAGGCTTAGGGGTAGGGTTGGTGTAGGGCAATAGAATATACTGTCTGTACAGTATAAAAACCATTACGCCTATGGAGAGTCCCCACTTTTCACAAAGTGTGTGTGTGTGTGTGTGTATGAGTGTGTGTGTGTGAGAGTGTGTGTGTGTGTGTGTGTGTATGAGTGTGTGTGTGTGTGTGTGTGTGTGTACCGATCTCATGTGCCACGGTGAAGGCTGCGTGAAGCCCATCGTCCTCTATGATTGCGCAGCTCCGCTCCGGTGAACACACAGTTCCCACATCAGCCATACCGAGAGTATCGCACGAGTGATGACCGCACAGATCCTGTACACAACAGCAGACTTTATTCATATTTAAAATTTTGAATTTTGAAAAATTTGAATTTTAGTCTAATTTTTATTAATTTTGTTGTGGGATTTGCAATTTTTTTAAATTTAAAATTTCATTTTTAAATATATTTTTAAATAGTACTATTTAATATTTATAAATATTTATAATAATATTTATAACTTATTTTTATTTCATGTATCTAATCATTGTGTTGATATGATGAGCATCCGTATTGTAATTGTTAACTAAAACTATTAATAATAATTTTTCTGAATTGAAATAAAGCTGAATAAAATGAGATATAAATAAAAAATTACACTTGAAAAACTTAAATGAAAATTTGAAATGTTGCTCTGGCAGATAACTGAAATAAAATAAATTCTAAAATTACTAAAACTATAACTGAAATAATGCTAATAAATTTTTTTTAAGAATAAATCATACTAGTTTATATATATATATATATATATATATATATATATATATATATATATATATATATATATATATATATATATAT